AAGATTTAGTTGACTTATCTACGAAAATGCCTGATATAGTTTTAAAATCTAAAGCAGATACTACAGTTATAAAATATAGAAGAGCTTTTACATGCTGGAAAAAATGGGCCTCACGGTTTAAAGAAATAAGTGTTTTGCCTGCAAATTCTTTTCATGTAGGCTTATACCTTACGTCATTGATTCAGTCAGGTAAAAGGTCTGTTATTATGAAAGCTGTGTACGGTATAAGATTGGCGCACAGAGTGCCGGGTCTACCAGATCCATGTCAACATGACCTAATTAAGAACATTCAAGAGGCAGCTAGGAGATGTCACAGTGACCCTGTCAAGAAGAAAGACCCTATAGATGTTGGTATTTTGGAACGGTTAGTTGATAGATTTGGCAAAGAGGATTCTTTCTGACAATGTCCATTCTTTCATATGCTGGCTTTTTCAGATTTTCTGAAGTTTCCGTAATTAGGCGCTCTGACATTTCTTTTCATGAAGGATATGTTCGTATTTTCATAGAAAAGAGTAAGACAGACGTGTATAGAGACGGTAGATTTGTTGTGATTGCGGCGTCTGATTCCCAACTCTGCCCAGTGAATATGCTTCGCCGTTATATGTTATTAGCAAATATCAAAGAAGACTCCCATGAGTTCTTGTTCAGACAAGTGAATTATTGTAAAAAACAAAAGAAGTATATTCTCAGAGGCAATAAGCCAATCTCTTACACGAGAACAAGAGAAATTTTCAGGGAAAAATGTAATGAAATAGGAATAGATGTGAACAGTTTTGGTTTGCATAGTTTTCGTTCTGGGGAAGCAACAGCCGCTGCGAATGCAGGTGTACCTGATCGGTTGTTTAAGAGACATGGCCGCTGGGTTTCCGACACGGCAAAAGATGGATATGTTAAAGATGACATAAAAGAGTTGTTGAGTGTCACTTGTATGTTAGGCTTGTAACTTTCCTGGGCTGTAATAAATGATTCTCGTTTCTTTGCCCTGTCTTTTAATTTCGAGCTGCGGTAGGCATTACCCATGCGAAGTGTTTGGTTGTACATAAATAAATAATTTATGTTCGTTTGATCGAAGAAAATTAGAACATAAATGAATTTATTTTGGGTTTAAGAGCTTGCCTACTGCAGTGAGCGTGTTTTTCACGTGCGGGTTGTGCAGAAGCCACGTGACGAAGGTGACGTGGTGAGATTGAATATGAGTTTAGCCATTCGAGGTCTTCGCACTACACAGTGAGCAGCTTTTTTTTCAGTCAAGTGTATTGGAAGTTATGTAGGAAAGTTTCAGTATTGAATCTTTATTCCGTATGGAGGATTACAAGCCGAATGGTTAATGTGTGCAGTATTGTGTTCTGTATCAGCAGTGAAGTACTAAGCTTCTGATGTAAGGTGAGGAGTGGTCCTACCTGGTGTGTTCTGACATGACATGCAGCGACGTGGAGATGTGACCTGGCCTGAAGCGGGGAATTGTGTCGGGATGCAAGGAATTGGAGATGAGTATTTTAGGTTTTCTCATATTAACATAATTACACGTATAATTTACGTGTATAAATATTTAAAAATTAAACAAATAAATATTGATAATATTGCGTAAACATCTGTAGTATACTTCATGCATGTGTAAGTAGTCTTTTCTGCTGTTGAACTTGTTTTGCAGGGATGGCTGGAGGAGCAGACTTCATGAGATGGATACGTACTATAATAATCTGTCGGTTCTATGTATACTCCTTTTGCGCAATAAACCTGTTCGCCTGTGACCTGCGGTAGGCATTACCCATGCGAAGTGTTTTGTTGTACATAAATAAATAATTTATGTTCGTTTGATCGAAGAGAATTAGATACATAATGTCAGGTAAAACAGAATGAGAATTTCAAATGTTGTCATTGCTCGATTTTGCTTGAATTTTGCTATTATAATATTTATTTATACATACATACAATGACACCGCACGTACGAAAGTCATTGTTTGACTTGAGCCTCATGGCGACATCAAAGCCATTAATTGCTATTTCGGTCACAAAGACCCAAAAGGGTACCATCATTTGATAATGAGCAGTTATCGACGTCATTAACACTACAGCACAGTTACCCAATCGTGATCAATTACAATTTTCGGGTACAGATGGATTTTACACTTCGAGAATATAATTGCTTTGTTCAAGCATAAAATGTGCTTGTTCCCCATCCGTGAAATCACGCACGACTTTTTAAGGCCGTCCGCTAGATTCGTAACACTCGATCAAAAACGAATTCGTGTCAAAATCTTCCCTTCGCTTCCCTTCCCTGGCAAAATCAACTTGCTTGGCGTCAAGCGTCCTGCCGATGCACACGTGATTTACGATTATCTCGCGGGACTGTTTATCATGTACTGGGACGACCTCATCGTCAAACCTCCTCCACCTGATACCAGATAAGCCACGGGTTGGTCTGTACAAGCTTGGCGTGTTTTGTTTCAGCTAACAATTTTCTGATGCGTTCTCGCTCGGTTTTGGTGGGAATCACATCGTTTTCTCATAGCCATTCCTCGAACGAATCCCTATCCTTGCAGTGTAATAAGGCGACCCAATGCATCTGTTCTCTGAGGTCTTTCAGTACTGAGTTGAATTTTTGTGTGAGCACCCAAATGCTGTTTCATATAAACGGCCTGAGAATGCTAAATACGACAACATGTCTATTTTTTTGCTGATTTCTCTATTCGTGCTGCACTTGTCTATGATGAACAGCGTCGATTCTCCCTTGAACTTGTCGTAAAATGCTTTCAACAGGTCCTGCATCACCGCATCGTTCATTACCCAGGCTCTCTCCGTGTATGTTTTATTGACACGTAAAGTACAGCAAAGCATGACGATGAGATTGAAAACATCCGATAATACCCTTCCAGCATATCCAATACAAAAACTGTCTTTCCACAACCGACTGCATATGATGGTGCAATGTGGCACCAGGGGGACCTCAATAGCACAATGCTTTGTGCATTGCTCAATACATGGCTTGCCGGAATCTTCTGTTTCGTACAATGAGTTGCGCACGTACAAATATCATGTACAAATATAGGTTTAATTTACCAGCAGCTTGAGTCTTCTTGGTGATTTGGCTCGTGATCCCCCTGCTTCCTCGTTCGATTCGGCAATTGCTGCCGTGAAGCTGATCATCGTCCGTGGATCGCATGTCCAACCACAGCGTGTACTTGCTAGTGAGGTATTGTCCGATCGTCACATCTGCGAGACCGAGATCCTCCGCAATAATTTCTGGTGGGTGCTTGATCACCGGTAATTTTTTTATCTCGTCCCACGGTTGGTAGGCTCTCATGCCTTGACTGATCAGCTGATCGGGCATGCCTTCTATAATGACTTCCACTTTGGTGATCTCAGGGTTCCAATACTTTTCGTTGTCTCTTCGAAACGGGAAAAATTCTTCTTCCGGAATGTTCAAAATACCCTTCATCAACTGGGCGGGCGTGTTCAGATTGATGTTCTACAACATATCGCTTTTATCCTTGGTGATCTTCCGATTATGCAGCACGCGATTGTACAAGACGGCCAACATTCTGAATACTGTTTGTGAATTTGTCTAGCCATGTTTTTTTAAGTTTAATATAAAAGATAGCCTAAGAGTACGGAATGGATGACTTTATATATGACTTGGACACACCCTTGGACACCTCATTCATGGGTGACAGGGTAAGCGATGAACTTTTACAGACGAAAGTGAACGATTATTGCAATACCATACAGGAAAAAGAAAACCACGCTCCTCTTGGTCGTGACTATTCTTAATTCGAAAATGATCAAAAAGGGATATTGCGACTGAAAGCCACTCCGGACGTCGATCTCATGAATGCACACACGAGAAAGCCAATCGTCTTGGCATCCAATTTGACTTGATCAAAACTTTCCATGAAAACCACCAAAACAATGCAAACAGTGTGGACCGGGTTTGGTGGCACAGCGGTGCGCTAGATCGAGACGAGTTGAGAGATGTGCTACAATGTGCCAAGGAAGTGCCAGACGCCTGACAAAATAATGACCACACTCCACGATACATTATCAGAATTTCCATTTGGGACCTGCAAGGTCTAGACAAGGCCATGCAAACCATGCACAGACCGTTCGTGAATAACATCACCAAACTGGACGCGCTCGACGAACATATCACTCTTAAAAAAAGAAAACTCGAACATGCAGACGATGATGATGACGAGATCAGCAGATGTCGTATCAAAGAAAGATTATGTAACCTGCAAGACGAAAGATTGTCCCGATTAGAAGCAGATTCCATCAACCAAGAAGCGCTTTTCGTTCTCAAATCAGTCGAAATCGCGAAACCATTGACCGAAGACACCACATTAGCTAACAGAATGTTTGAAAACATTTCAAATCCCTGGGAGAAGCCCTAGCGAAACTGGCGGGTGAAGCCTCGGAAGCCCTCCCCGAGATCCTTGGTAGTATCCTCTCCTGGTTATTAGGCCTATTATCGAAAAGGGTGACATGGTTTGGTGAAAACTTGTGGGCATTCGTTGTCGCCGTGGCCGGTCTGTTGCACATCCCTGCTAAGGGTGCAGTGGGTGAGCTGGCTAAGGTGCCAGGCTAGTGATCCAGCGAGGTTTCAGATGTCGAGATCAAGCCCACCTACCGGGTGTAAAAACCTAGGAGTCAACTTTGTGTGCAGACTTTTTCAGTGTTGTCACAACCCCTAGTGTACAGTACACAACCCTGTGCACTATAAGAACCCACGTATCCGTTGGTATATCATCTTTTTTCAAGTTTTGGAAAACATTTGTTGAAGTTGTGGAAATACACTTGTAAAAATATACGGAGTGGTTGATACACTTTTCACCCAAAAAAACTGTAGGGTTACATCGAATACACTTACAATTTTTAACACTAGGTGGCTTGACTTGGGTCAAGATTTGCTAACTTGTATTCAAACAGGAAACAATATAGAAAAGCAAAGAGGTGGTTTAGTTCAATCAGGAAGTTCTAGTGCAGACACAAACGCAACCAACCGTATGTCTGTGGTATCCCCCAACTCCTCCATGCAGGATGATGATGTTCTTCGCTTCCTCCAGTTGGTGGATAGTCCGGAAATTGGAGGCATTTATGGACAGCTCCTGAGAAAATTAGAATACCTATTAATTTTACGTGGTCACTCTCTATTGTCCACAATTATTGACTCTATTGACACTATTTTAAGCTTTGAACCAGGTTGGGAGTGGCATGGAGGTCAGACTGGGTGCCTTTATGGTCAATCTCTTCTGCTTTTCACTGTCTGAAGTTTCATAATTCAATAAAGTGAAAATAGGTACATAGAACAGCCTTGCAAAAAATCCTTAGTTTTGACATTTGTGTTTGTCCAATTCTTTTGGTTACTTTTCACAATGTTATGAAACAACAGGCAATGTAACAAAAATCTGGAAAATAATATGTTTTTAAAACTCAAAATGCAACAAGCACACACAAACACTACATTTTTAGATTTGGCAAGAAAATGCCTTATATGAGTGGCTACTAAAAGTTATTTTTATTTAAAGCAGCAGTTCAATAAATGACATCTAAATGAAGATAATGTACAACATTATCCCCATTTTCACATCTTAATCAAAACTATTGAGTGTTGGCTCTTTATAAACACACTAAAAATGGCTTTGGAAAGTCATGCATTGAATTTTGGGTCAAAGATCTTGAAAGATCTAAGTTGAATGTTACTCAATCCTATGTGAATGCTTTCTTGTATACAACTTAAACTTACGCAACTAATTGCATACAACAAAAGAGAATTTAGATATGATGTGTTATGTGTTACTGCTAGTGTTTGTAATGATGTGAGGTCCTTTCTGTGTGTGATTTGGATTGCATTGAGTTTATTGTTTAGCCCCCAAGTTGGAGTCTACCAAGCAGTGAATAGTGTTTATGAGTTATTTTACAGTTATTAATAATATGAAGCAGTTCTTCCATTTAGATAAAGACAAACTTTATGGATGAATCAGGTGATGACAGGCCAACAGGCGCAACCACTCCAACAACAAGAAAATGAACCCAAAGGCGGTGATTTAACAAAATTGACTTTAACTGTGGACACTCCCATATTGGTGAAACATCTAGACCAATATCGCCACCTGTGGTCCAATATCCACATAAAACTTTTCTGAGCTTCGTATGGTTAACATGAGAGGCGAATCGTTTGATGTCGGGTATCGTTTGAAAGCTCTGAACATCAACAATATCACTGTACCCTTGCCGAGAGTATTTTCACAGTTGTAAGAAGCGATTTTATTGGATAAAGATTGGTTTCTAACAACGCTTTTTTGCCACAGTCTGCTATAAGGGTCGTGATTGGTCAAAATCAGACACGTGACATAAGGCAGCCAATCATATTACGGCAATGGATACCATCCTCGTAAACGAAATCTTTTAGATTTAGATGAAAGTTTTGGTAAAATAATGCTATTCTGAACATATTAAGCAAGAAATCGCTACCTATATGTAAATTATGGAACTTATTGGACGTATCATGCTAGGTTATGACCTGTGACAAAAATACTTCATGTACATATTTTCGCATTCAACATTGTGTACGAGCGTGAAGATTGAGGCAGCGAGAGCTGAGATGTCACTTGTCAGTGACCTGACTTACATTACATGATCGCACAAAAAGATGGAAATAGTAATTTTATATGTACGTTTGACAACTTTTATTAATGATGTTGTTGATTTTATCCATTAGTTTATTCAATTTATTTAATGATTTTCTCTAAACATTGATACTTTGCTCTTTGACAATGTTATTGTGGACCTGCTGCCAAAGCATGTGTCCGAGAATCGTTGTTTTCAATAACATTGCAAAAAATAGTTTATAATTTGAATTCTGCTGATAATACATGATCAAAAGAAATTTAATAAGTGTTTTCAGACATTGTGAAATGTGATAGATTTAATATATAAATCATAAGTCAGGTAGGTTCCTAAAATTATGTCTCATTTTGACGTGACTACTGCCTGGCCGATTAATCGGCCTCTGGTGTCTAGGGACTCATATATAAACCAGATGAACCATCATCATCCCAACGTAACGCTAGCTGATCTCGGAGACACGACGGGATTCGATCTGCTTGGCGAGGGAAACACCTTGTACGCCATGCGCTTACAAGACAACGTGTACAAACGACGAGAAGCCATCATCGAATCTCAGTAAACTGGATTATTAACCTGGTCCTGACCTACCCCTATCTCATCACGGATGAGGATTGTAATGTCCTTGAACTAAAAAACAAAGGGGTTCTACTGGACAGTTTTATTCCGATCAAGGAAAAATGTAATTTTCTGAGTAAAATTGATATTTTATACTTATCCTGACTCATGTATTATTGCTTGTCTCCTTCCTTTCCCGAACGTTAGTGGAATACTTGTATCTCCTTTTTGAAGCTCCCTTCAAAAAAGCAGAAGTGAAATCACTACTCACCACGAGTTATCTCCCTCTCGGTTTTGGCGGGAAAACGGCGCCACCCGTCTTCACTCTCTCCGAATTGCTAGCCCGACACTTTGATTTACAGGGAAATCCAAAGTGCCTAGCGGGGAGGTTGGGAGGGCTTACCTCATGAGTCAGGATAAGTATAAAATATCAATGTAACTCAGAAAATTACATATTTTTCCTTATCCTGACTCATGTATTATTGCTTGTAAAATCCGACGGATTTGGTGGTGGGTCAAGCCACTTCTGGATTCCAATTGGTGATTTACGTCTTGCATACCCCCCTATGGGAACTTCCTGGTAGCACTTCAATTTACTGCTAGGCTCTGCTGCTGCTGTAACCCTTTACTTCCAGCTTTCTCTGATGGGGGGACCACAATTGTTAACTTTTGGTCCTTGCTTCTGTTAACATTTTTATGTGGATTTTTGCAACTCCATCTCTTGATGCAAGCATCAAGTAGAGAAGTGACCCTTCTTATGTACGAGTACGTCCTTACAAGTACTGGGTCTTATCACTTATGCTAGTCTGTCTTAGACGTGCATATGGACTCTAAAGCTGTAACTCTCCTGAGTGTAGGCTTTTGCAAGTCATGTGATAAAAGGGCGAGACTCTGTCTCAGCGCCTCTGTGGAACTGTCAATTGTTGTGCTACAACAAGTGGGCCGAAATGGTGAATGCCAGAGACGTCCTCAGTGGCGATGTCTCTCAGGTAGTGGTTGGCAAACACCATGTCCGATTTCCAGAAGCAGCCCTCCATTATCGTCGTGATAGAGCAGTTTCCATGTAGAGCGAATGTTGACGCCAGAGCTCTAATTTCATGTGGATTGGAGGCTCTTGGAGGATCAAGTCCTGCTGCTTTGTAGGCCCGTAGAATGACAGTTCTCATCCATATTGATATCGTAGTGCGAGAGATCTCAGTCTGTGTCTCTGCCGATATAGGGATGAAAAAGACGCTTGAATTTTCGTCTCCTGGTCCTAGACCTTTGTAGGTAGACTTTCAATGCTCTTACTGGGCACAAGGCTAGGTCCTGTGTATCCTGTGGCCAAAGGACTGATGATAGTGCTGGGATGTGGAATTGTCTGTCCGGTAGACCTGGCAGTTGATTCTTTGCTATAAAGTCCCATCTCACTCCCATATGCACGATGTTTCGATTTTCATCAAATCGTGTCCTTTCAAAGTCTAGAGCATGTATTTCCGACCTCCTTGCTGCTGTTGCTAAGGCAATCAGGAACAGAGTTTTCTGTGTCAAGAACTCAAAAGATGTCCTATCTAATGGTTCATAAGCGTCCCTGGTGAGATGCCGTAGAACTATGTTGAGGTCCCAAGCTGGAGCTTTAAATCTCTGTTGTTGGTCCTCCAGTTAAAAAGAGCGTAGTAAGGCCAGTAACTCTGGTACCTTAGACAGTTTTACACTCGTCCTCATAGTGATAACTGAGCTCAATGCCGCTAGGTATGTTGAGAGTGTTGACCCTTTTAACCGCTTCGTTTGTCTAGGTGACAAAGATAGTCCGCCACTTGAGGGTGTGTCGCTTTCATGGCTGTGAAGCCTGTTTTCAAAGCGTAGGTCTCAAAGCTTCGCCACTTGTTGTCGTACAAGTTGGGTGTTGACTTGCGTAAAGCTAGCGTGACCGCTTTAGCTGCCCTGGTGGAATATCCTCTCTTATTCAAGCACGCCTTGATACGGTCCATGTGTGTAGGCAGAACACCTTGGGGCTGCCGTGTGCTTGCTTCGTGTGTGGATGTACTAGCAAGTTCGTCAACTCTGGTAGTTGCAGTTGAGGCGGTCCTAGTTCTTGTATGAAAATGGGGAACCATATTCTCGCTGGCCAATAAGGCGCGATCAAAATCAGTTGCAGGTTCCTCGTCTGCATGATTTTCTGCAACGCTTTCGGTATTAGAGCTGGTGGCGGGAACGCGTAAGCGTTTAGTCCTTCCCAAGAGATGCTTAGAGCATCTGTTGCCCATGCTCGTGGATCTGGTGTTGGAGAGACGAATGTTACCAGCTGATTGTTGAATCTTGCGGCAAACAAGTCTATTGGCGGCGCTCCTATCTCTTGTATGATATGTTTGAAGATTTCTGGATGTAGCATCCATTCTGTTGGGGATGGCTGAGTTGGACGAGATAGTGCGTCTGCTATCACATTCTTGGCTCCTGGAATGTGGCATGCTTTATGTGGATGTTAAGATTGTCTGTTATGCTGAACCGATGAAAGCACAGGTTCAGAAGGTTCGCCGACCTTGTTGACCCTTGTTTGCTTATGTAGAACGCCACTGTGGAGTTGTCCTTGTGTACCGTTGGATGAGCATTTTATAAAATGCTGGTCCAGTGGAGTATGGCGTTTATCACGGCTTTCATTTCTAGCATGTTGATATGCAGATCTTTCTCTTGTAACGTCCATTTCCCAGCTGACACTTCGTTGTCGAGGTGTGCTCCCCATCCTTGGAGAGATGCGTCCACATAGAGATGCGTTTTGCACTCCGGCTCTGTGAAGTAGGTGCCCCCGCAAACATTCGATCTCTGAGTCCACCATAGTAGATATGGTTTTAGTCTGTCCGGGAGTCCGAAGGGGTCCGGATCGTCCAGATGTGCAATTACGAAGACCTGTAGTGGGCGTAGTTGTAATCTCCCTCTGCGCGTCATA